GGGGGGGGGGGGGGGGGGGGGGTGCCTGCTCCTTTACAGGAGGTAGCAGCCTAGGAGGCTGCTTGCAGGTGGCATAGGGGTCTAATGAGAGACTCACCTGACCAGAAGAGGACTCAGGCTGAAGCTATATAAGCCAGATACTCTCTCCCTGGCAGCTGTGAAGTGAGACGCACCTGACAGCAGAGCAGCAGCTGGGTTCCTGAAGGCACTGGGATTTACCTAAACAATTCTGCAGGCCTAGGAACAGAGGCAATTTCCTTGGCCAAAGAAAGAAGACGTTTTACAGGAAAGTAGCCTTTGCTTTATGTTAAACCCCTAGAGGGTTTGAGGTGGCTGCCAGGGGGCTGCATGCAGAACCAGGGGTCTGAGAGCCCAGAGAAGGGGCTGCACACGGGAGAACCCAAATGAGAGGCTGCACACTGGATCAGGGGTCTGAGGGCCCAAGAGGGAGAAGGCAAGCAGGCTAGTCTCTCCCTGGCAGCTACAGGGTGAAGAGCTCCAGGCAGCAGGGCTCCTGAATGGACTTATATCTTACCCGTGGGACCCCAGTGAGGCTTGGGGAGCTCACAAGACTAGCCCAGACCTGGAAGGTATACCAGCACTAGTGGGGAGGGAAGGTTTGGCCTCTTAAAGCGACAGAGGGCTGCTTCCCCTTAATGCTCATGTTATAGCCCAGGGGCCTATTGTTTACATTGCAGACACACTGGTAGTTTAGGCTGGGACTGTAGGGGCAGTACACAGGAGGTCCCATTAGCTCCCGAGGCGCACACGATCACCTTAAACCCTGCCAGAGGTAGGCTCAAGGCTTGAGCAGCTGTTGAGCCTGAAGTGCCAGAATGCAAGGCCACAGAGCCAGATAGGGGCAAACAGGCCCAGTGCCCAAGAGGGGTGCAACTAGACAGGGGCCAGAGGCCCAGTGCCTGAGAGAGCCATGCCTGAGCTAGCACCTCAAAAGCCAGGTCTGACACAGTGGACCCCGGCTAGAAGGCCTAGCCAGAGTAAAGGGGCAGAGGTCAAGGAGGCCAAAGGCCACGAGAGAGAACATCTTTACAGTAACACCTGTGAGAGTTGGGATGTGGTGTAGGGAAGGATAGGAGCCATGCAATGCAATCAGCCTTTAAGGCTGTAGGTGCCTGTGGCAGAGCACTTTTGAGGGTGTTTGCCACTTAAGCGATTTCACAAGCTCTGAGGGAAGCCTGCTTTGGCAGAGCAGCAGAGGTAACCTCTCCCAGAAACTATTTATTCTAAGAGGAGGGAGGGGGAAGGTATGTGGCAGAGCACCTCTGGTGTCTGCCACTTTAAGAGCCTGAAGAGGCAACTGGCAGGTGCAGCCCAGCTCTGATGAGCAGCCATTTTAAGATTCAGACCAGCAGAGCTGGAGGCAGTGCTTGCTGCCTGGCACTGAGGAAACAACACCTCCTGGTGGAGCTGATGCTCTGGTAACATCAGGAGGTAAGGGCAAGAGCTGATGGGGATGGCTAGGAAGCTCTTGGTCCTGGGCATGACCTAAAACTGCACCCTGCCAGGGATGGGTGGCCTGAACAGCCCCCCAGAAATACCAGGCCAGTTACCACCCCGGTGGATGGTGAATAGGGGTGCCTAAACCCCAGCCCCCACCTTCAGGTGGGTCAATTAACATCAGAGGTAGTTGGGGGCTGCGGCCACCTGAGCCTATGTGGGGTACAAGGCCCTGGAGCATGGAGAGTGGGGCCAGGTATGGCTGTGGCCACCTGAGCCTGGGCGTATGTGTGTGACCCCAGGCCACAGCGTAGGGGGGCACAGTATGGGCCTCAGTAGAGGCGGAAGTGTAGAGCGGGGTGCAGTGGAGCATCTCACAGCCTGCACCAGAGTGGCAGTTGGGAGGCCTGGAGAGCCTAGCAAAGGGCATGGAGCCTAGTGAAGAGGCAAGGAGCCCCAACTGTGCATGTGTGTGGGGGAAGGAGCTCAGTGAGAGTGAGAGCCCAAGGAGAGGGGCTGGAGTTAGGGGCCGGGATACAGTTACAACATGTGAATGCCGAGAGGGGTGAGCAGTGAGGCCCTGTGAACAGGGGGCCTGAGATGAGATCCTATGAGGAAAGGGTGTGAAGTGGGTCCCGGTGAGCAGGGGGTTTGAGGGTAGGCCCTGCTAACATGGGGGCCAGGTAAGCCTTCGGGCACCTGAGGCCACAGGTGGGTCAGAGGCTGATTGGGTGGAACAGCTGAGGAGGTACCATGGGTAAACAATGGGGCAATTCAGGAGCCCCTAATTCAGAGCAGCTGGGTGAGCAACCTGGTGAAGGACTAGAAGCAGAATCACTCCAGTGTTCTGCAAACTGCCCCACGGTCACTCAAATGAGGGTCGCAGGAGAGGCCCAAGAGGCCACATGCTTGCTGTCCGGGGAGTGCAGGAAGACAAGCCCCAGGACCTTTCAAGGCAAGGGCAGGGTGAGTGTGGCCCCAGGAAAAGGAGGGACGGTATGAGAGTGGCCCCTCAAAGGAGCAGTATGAGAGAGGCCGTGTGAGAGGCGGTGGAGTGGGAGAGGCCTCAGTGAGAGGGAGGTGGTATGAGTCTGGCTCGTAATAGGGCAGAAAGCGAGAGGCCTATCACTGGGATGAGTTGAGCCTGGCCTCAGGCCACAGCAGAGCTCAGCTCTTAGGAACATTTTCAAGGCTTGGGATGCAATATAGGGATGGTTGGAGCTGCAAACATAGGCCCAGGAGAACAGGGTGTCAGAAGGGCAGCCTCCCGCCTTATTAAGAAACAATGAGACAAGGTATGGCAGGTGAAAAAGGAGGGTGGCATGCCCAGGGGCAGGTGAGGAGACTAATATTGTGGCTAGTCAGGGAGCTCCCACTTTGCCACAGTGCCCAGCAGAGGTACCAACAGGCTGAGAGTGTCTACTAACCTGGGGGGGAGGGGTGCAGGACTGTGATTGCATGGACCCAGAAGGGGCACAATAGAGATCAATATGAGGCTCAGGCTCACTCAGAGCCTACAGGCAGCCTCCCTTTTATAACTTTCAATAAGATTAAAGTGTGGCAGGCAAGTGAACGAGGGAGGGCTATATTAGGACCCGAGCCAGGCAGGGGTCACATGGCCACCAGGGCGTGTCACGGCCACCCCTGTGGTCACGGGCCTGCTGCAATGCTCCTCAACTACTTCATATAAATGATTTATTACACAAATAACCAGGATATATAAAGCTGTTCTTAAGGACTAATATTCATGCTAATAAATAACATCAATTGTACATCACAGAACTGTGCTTTATGTAAATTTAACTGTCATCATAGTTTTTCTTCCAGCAAAAACAGTCATAGCAGTTTAGAACATGCTTCACTTACCCATTACTGACAACGGCAGTATGCCCAAATCTGTTCACATCTCGATGCAGATTAGGTTTAGGTAAAATTTTCCATTCATCACAAGCTGAAAGACAAAAGGAAAGCATGTAAGTTCCTGTAACAGTTTCAAGAGACTTTAGGAAAATATATTACATATGTAAATACCAAAATTAAGTCAAAAGCATGTGGGCTATATTTAAGAGAGCATAACATTTTGAAACATGTATTTTTCAAGCACAATTTCCAATGCTAATTTATGCTTCCCTCTTGAAAAACAAATATTCCTTCTGCTCTAAGATATATTTGTATCCTGTAAGAATTTAAACGCACTGAAATACCCCATTAAATATATATTTTTTCACCTCCTGATAATTACTACTTCAAATGTCAGAGGAAAATGAGAGGAACTTCAAAGCAAAAGTCACTCCATGCTCCCAATGCAATGTAAAATTTGGTGTGTTCCATCAGATGGATCATTGTTTAAAAGGTATAACTTGTATTCCTAATTCTTGACGCCAATGGTGTTATTGATTGATATATATTCAATAGGCACAGTAATGGATATAAAATTTCTGATACTGTGCCCCTACCAATCTCAGGATAATGTGCTTATCTTCAGTAATACTCACCTTCTTTGTAATCTTTTCTTTCATACAGAATATCTATAGTGTGTTATTTTTGAGAATTTAAAATCTAAGCTAAGGGAATCTAAATGAGAAAAATATTTGTTCAGCAGCATGAATATGCCACAAGTCCAATCATCAGAGAGAAATATTGTATTATCATGGGTTGGAGGGCAAAAAGCACACAAGGGGCCAACAATTTAACGTGGAACCATGCTGACCTATTTCTAAGAGCTTTAACAACTGTTCAGGGAATTAATTTTTTGGACTACGTAATTAAGGTTGCCTTTGGACCCATATGTAAATTAGATTTGCAATGCAAAGCACTTATAATGTTGCAGACATGCTTCATATTTTTAATGTAAAGTTAAAAAGATGAGATGTATAATACCATTGAAAATCTATTTTATGGGGGATAAATAGATTTGGTATGACCATTCAGGTAAAAGGCTCTTAAATAATCATACCTAAAAAGGAAAAGTGTTTTGTGAGGCTGGGAGCCTGACAAACAAAGGAGGTACATAGGATGTATTTAGGTTTTTTAAAGCTATTAAAATATTTTTAATATTTTTAATGCCAAGAATTGTGCTAAACATTTTGCAAGCATTAAAGAAAAAAAATAAATACCTCCAAAAGTGTATACATTTTAAAGATCGAATGCAGATGAAGTAAGTCAAGATCCAATAAGGGGACACTTTCATTGTCAAATGATTCTCAGATAATTGTCAACTAAAGAATTTATACTTAAGAGTTTATGGAAATATGTACATAGGACTGTTGAGGGCAATCTAGCACCAGATTAAGTGAAGTTGTACATTAGTCTTTTGAATCAAAAAGACTTTAAAATGTATTTTCTGGAAAAAGTGTGTGCATAAGTGTGTGTGTGCATGTGCATGTTTACACACAGGTAGATTATGTGGTTTACTCAAACTTACAGTCAAAATGAGCCAAGTGATATTTTTCCTATTTAAATAAACCTTTAACGAGAGCCAAATTCTCTAATCTGAAATGTTATGGCAGCTCCTATTAAAATCAACAGAAGCCTATACATTAGGGCTATGCGAAGCAGCAAGTATTCGCTTTGGATTCAGATTCGGCCAATTCAGAGGAACAGCAATTCGATTTGAGGAGATTCGAATCACTGTCCCAACCTGATTCAGCCAATTCAGATCTGAAGTTTTGGCGCCGCTTCAGAGATTTGGTCATACACTAAACAGGTAGCAGTCCTCAGCATGCTGGACACAGCTGCCTCCAGCTGGTAAGTCTATTGTCTTAGAGTGCAGCCCTGGCTTCGCCCACCCCACAGAGCGCAGTGGAGTGGGGGTTATAGGGTGGGGGCTGCAGCCACCCTAAAATTCCTCATAGCCCCTACCACCAAACCCTCCCCAATCCAGGTGCACACGCCCACTGCCATGCCGTCCTGCTGGGGCACAGCCCCCACTCCCAGCACCTTCTGCCACCTGTCCAGAGCACATCCCAGCCCAGCCCAGCCCAGCCCATCCCACGCAGACTCAGAGGCACATGCCCGCTCCCATGCCCCCTGGACTGGCAGTGCATGGTGGCACACAGTGGCGGGAGCCCCCCTCCCCAAGTCCCATGCTCCCCTACCCCAGCTGGGCAGCTACTCCCAAGCCCCAATCCCTCCCTCGCTGTGGGGACATTAATCTGCCCCCCCATGCCCCTTCCCTCCCTCCTCTACCCACCACAACAGATTTACCAGCTGGAGGCAGCTGTGTCCAGCATGGCGAGGACTGCTACAGACCCCGCTCCCCCCTGGCCCATGCTGCATGGGCCACATTGCTCTGGGCTGTACACTGAACCGTGCACCCCCGGTGTGCACCCACATACCCCTCCCCTCCCCTCCCCTCACCCCAGCATTCAGCGAGTGATCCCTGCTGTGCTACACTGACATCTCCAAACCAGGCGTGGTCCTCCCAAGCTCCTCAGCCCCACATCCACACCATGTCTCCCTCTGCCCAGCACTGGGGGCAAGCAACAGAAGCTGGGGGAGGGAGGTAAAGCCAGAGACTCTAGAAGCTGCAGCAAGAGAATAATGCAAAGAGTTGCAGCCAAGCCAAGAGCCTGGGGGCCATAGATTAACCCTTCCAGAGCTACATATGACCTCCCAGGCTGCCAACTGGACAACCTTGGTTTAGGTATTGAGCTGCTTCTCAGAAGGAAGCTCAGAACCTGAACACTGAATTGGATGATGTATTTTCACGCAGAACAAACACTACAGCTATTGCAGAAGAGAAATGTAATATTTTTGTCCTTGAGACAGTCTTCACACACATTAGAAAGAGAAGGGTTAAAACTCTTCCTTCTAAAACACAGCTTGAAGAGTCAGATTTTGCCATGGAAATAGGTTGGCATAGGTAAGGAGCCTTAGTTTTGTTGGCTACCGAAAGTGTCTCATCTGTGTTTCATGTAACACCACTCTTTTATTCTTCCTAAGATGGGAACAGTTTAATACCTGCAGTCATGTGCAATCTGTTGCTGTGCTATCCCAGCACCAAGCCATGCACAGTACTCCCAAGCTCCCCAACTATGTGTTCCCTCAGCCCCACATGTATACCATGTCTCCCCACACCCAGGGCTGAGGACAGGTAGTAGAAGCTGGGAGAGGGATGGGAATCTGAGACTCTGGTAGCTACAGCAAGACAACAATGTGGGGAGTTGCACCCGGACCAGCTTTTTCTGTTGCTGCTATATATACACACTATACTAATAACTGAGTCTATTTAAAGGTATGCTATATACAAATCAAACTGAAAAAAATGTTGCCTCAAAACACTGATCTAAACTAACTGTTTCTGACCCTAGACAAAGGCAATTATAACCAGAGACCGCAGCATCCAAGAAACCTGTCTTTAGGCAAAGGAAACCCATAAAAAGAGGATAGGGGAACTGTTAAAGGAGGTCAAGTTTTTTACTGAGGCACACAAGAATCAACAGTGAGTCAGCATGTCTATGACAGATAAATCAATTAGTCTCTCTTTCTGAAACAGGGGTAGGTATTGAAAGCATATTCTATTATTGCCAAAGTAAATGCAGTATCTACCATACAGACATCTAAATGCCAGTAACTTCAACATCTGGCAGTGACTCAGATTCAGTCTACCATCCTGAACAGAAAGAAATAAAACAAGTTTTTGTTCAGCATCAAGTATGGATCAGTACATCCCCAAATTTCTCTTTCCCCATAATCATCTTTAGTTTATTAATGTATCTCATTAATGTTCTTCACACCTTTCACTACCCAGCTAGAGAGGTGAAAACCAAAGTATTCTAGAGAGATGCCATCCAGTACCTGTTCTTGAAATAACAACTTCAACAAAGCAGATCACAAAATTAGGGCAGCAATTAATTACTTCTCATCACAAGTGCTAGATCAAGGTGAGCATGATATCAAGTACAAAGATATACATATCTTACATCACAGTGCAACAGATGCACTAGATGGGCTGGTTGAATTTGAATTACACAAGAGCTTCAGACAGAGTTGCCTTATTTACTGGAAAATAAAAGTGATGAACAATTATGAATTCAATTTCTATTTCAGGAACATTTTGCCATTTAAACTACACAAGGCGCACACATTTTATTGTTACAGCATCCTAGCAATATCTTTCCATTATACTGTAAATTCAAGTTCCTTTTGCTATAATTCAGTGCATGTGAGCAGGAGCAGCTTGTTTAAGCATATGGAAGATGTATATATTTGGTGACAGAAGAAAAACATTTAAAATAAAACACACACAGTATATTTTCACTTGATCTAGAAAAAAAACACTCTGAATGATTTTTGTATTTATATACTTTTAACAAAAGGTAGGATTTAATACTGAAAGAAAACCATAAAAACATATTAAAAGCTGGTTTTAAGATAAGAAACCCTTGCAGGCTGGAGATATAATAATTCCTAGCTTGCTCATGTTATTTGTCAAACTGGCAGGTCTTTTCAATAAAGTACAGGATAAAAAAAAAACCACGTTACAAATAGCCTTTCCTCTTATCTCTTCTAGCCTTCTCAGTGACTACTGAACATTGAACAGAGCATTGTGCTAGAAAAATACTTTTGCTGAGCTGTAAATTCCTGATCAGAACTACTCTGTGAAGTGCAGATTACTTCGTGTGAAATGCAGGGAGTTAACCAAGTGACTGTTTGCTTGGTGAAGGATTTAATATATTTTGTTTTTATACATCATAATTTTTTCTTACACAATTGCAGTGCCTGAATATTTAAACATACCAAAATTCTACAATTATATGAATTTAATATAAACATTACTACAAAAACCCATAAACTATTAATAAAATGGACAAATAATAGGGGGGGTTTTCACTGCTGTCAACGCTTCTTCCACCTTTTGTTTATCCCTCCTAGATCAAGAATAATTTAGCTGTTAAACTCAGGGCAGGGAGCACCAATTTTTCTCTACCTGCAAAGTGTCATGCGTAT